ACAAAGACTCACCACTCCTGCGTGACGTGCACCACCATCTGCACCTCCCGGTCGCTGCGCTCCGTCACGGAGTGGCACGTCATGGTCTCCTGGTGGCCCTGCGACACGCGTGGTTCAACAGGTAAAGGTCGCTGCAACGCGGACAGGGCGGGGGCCGTCATCGGCGTCCTCTGTCTGTACTCACCCCGCGCTGAGGCCGGCCGCCGCTCGCCCGGGGCCGCACGCGCAGGTCGTTGTCCTCGTCCTGGTGCAGCTGGTGGCGGTGCAGCTGGTGGCGGTGGTGGGCGCGCAGGTGGTGCAGCGTCACGTTGTGCAGGCCCACCGACAGCTGCAGGTGCTTGCTGAGCGACGTCCACGTGTCGTGCGCGCGCAGCCACTCGGGCAGGCGGCAGGGCGGCCACCGCTGGCGCACTGCGAGCAGAGAGGACAGCGTTAACGACACCTGCAGGTGCGGTGGCAGGTCGCGGGCGCACCCCTCCTCAGGGCGCCCTGCTGCAGGAGGGCTGCGGCACTAGGAGGCGGGCGGGGCGGGGCCCGCGCTGGGGAACGGTTTTGCCAGTGGAGCCCCCCTCTCCGCCACGACTACAAGCCCCGGCCCCGGCACATAGGACCCCACTATCTTGTAATGGGCTATCTGGGCCTCGCCGGCCCAGGGCTGTACGACCAACAACACACACACTCGCCATGCAAATACCAAAGTACTAACACATTACTCATTACAAAATGTAACTTATCTAGGAGAACTGTCGTACACTTTTGCAGTTCCGAAAACAAATATGATGATGGCAAAGTCTGTGATGAGATTGCCTCGATAGAGAACACAAGTTCGGAAAGGTTCTTATCAAGCAGGCCTGATAAAAGAAGAAACCTCTTTGGCATCCTTCATAATTTACCAGTTCTAGTATAACACGTGCCCTAGGATAGTAACTTTCACGCCCCCCCCCCACTCTTCCCCCCAACTGCCCCGTCCTGCGACCGGCGCAGCATCCCCGAGGGTGGGACGAGTTTTCAATACGGGCTTCTTTGGGCCAAACTAATTAATGAATGAATTATCCCCAGTGGGGCCACAAGGGCCACGCCGTGAGCCGCACTGTGGGGCTCTGCGGGGGCTGGGCGGGGGGATGTGTTGGGGGATGGCTTGCATGTACAAGTCCTCCGCCTCCCTCCCTCACACCCTGTGGAACCGTGGAACACACCCATGCGATCCGTCCGGCACAGCAGCAGCACTACCCACTACCAGCAACAGCAACGCACTCGGCTGAAAGTGTCCGGGGTAGTGGTTTTACACGGCGTTCTGATGCGCGAGAACTAAAAGTAGTGCGGCGAAAGTGGGGAGAGAACGAAGAATGGGGTAAAACAGGGAGAGACAGAGAGATAGGGAGAGAGATGGGGAGGAAAGGGTAGGGAGAGGGCAAGACGAATGGCCACAGACAGAGGCGAAACGGAACCCTTTTGTCTCCAGTAGAAAAGGAGGGACATACTCTTTCGTTGTTAGGCGCAAACCGGACGGAAAAATGGGCGGAGGAATCGTCAGTGGCCTCTGGGTCCTCCCCCTTCCCCCGCCTCCCCCACACCGCCGCGGCCTCGCTCCGCGGGGACCGGACGGCGGGGAGGCGGATGTGCAGTTGGGTGTAAGAAAGAATACTACTACCGCGCCCGGCAGGGGCGTGGCGGCGCGTGGCGGTGGAGGGTTGTTTAAGGCGCCTCTCTCGGCCCTCGGCCCCGGCTTTGAGCGCGCCCGCTCCACCCCGCCACGCCCCGCCACGCCCATATTGCCGTGCGCTATTTGCATGCGCGCAGGCGGCGTCCTCATGTGGCGGTCCCCACGGGCCGGGGCGGGGCGGGGCGGGGCGGGGCGGGGCCCGCGCTGGGGAACGGTTTTGCCAGTGGAGCCCCCCTCTCCGCCACGACTACAAGCCCCGGCCCCGGCACATAGGACCCCA